CAGTCAACTGAAAATAGAAACAAAAAATTAGCCGGGCATGGTGGCACATGCCTGTAGTCCCAGCTACTCGGGAGGCTGAGGCAGGAGGATCACTTAAGCCCAGCAGTTTGAGGTTGCTGTGAGCTAGGCTGACGCCACAGCATTCACTCTAGCCCGGGTAACAAAGTGAGACTCTGTCTCAAAAACAAACAAACAAAAAAAACAAAGGTTCTGCTGCACACACTGTGCCCCCTCAAATGGAATGTTCATTTGCACTAGCTTTAGGTGCAAATAAGTGCCCACACTGCTCCAATCGCCACCCTTCCTTTTGTCTGTACTCCTGGCGAGCAGTGAATTCAATTTTTATTAAAGTTAAAGGGGCTCCCACTCTAGGTATAGGAGGGGCCCTACCCAACCAAGGTGAAAATGAGGGTTAGTAAGTACCTCAACGTCCCGCTTCAGTTTCTCCAGGAAGTTCTTTTTACTCTCCTCTCCCACATGCAGTTTCTGCCCTTCATTGAGGAAGTCGTTGTCTTTGAATGTTGGCAAGTCCTTGGCCTGGGAGAGCAATAGCAGTGTTAGGCTGGATAGGCCCGATTCATTCGCACCAGGGAGAATGAACTGTTCTGCTGAGAGCAATGGCACAGAAGGGGGAAGGGTCCTCAGCGCACAGACACTCAACCTGCTAAATCAACAGTGCAGGAGCCTGTAGTCCCAGGCTCAGAGCAGGCAGGGATGGCAAATACGTGACATTTATCAGACGATAAGTACTACCCAAAGGATTCCTTCCTACTGAGCCTGAACTACCCCAGGGCTCAGGCAGCCACAAACTGATTGAGGCTGGGCTATGACATGGAAATTATCTCCCATCCCAGCAGGACTATGAAGAACCTAGTGAGGCCAGAGGTAAAAGGCTAGAGACCAGGGCCTAGGCCTAGGATAAGGACAGGCAAGTGTGTAGCGACACAGAGCATTTCACGCTGATACACTGCACATCTGGGAGCCGGACTAGGGGCTGCAGAGGGGGAGTGACAGGATGGTCGACAGGAGTTGTTTCTGATTCCGAGTGACCCTTCCACACTTGCTCTGCACCAGCATACCTTCTCCTTGTCACTTGCTTCTCTGGCAACAGTAGAACCCTGAAAGGATAAGAGCCATCAGGAGAAGTCCAGCTGGGGCAAAGCCCGTTCAGCAAGCAAACACGCACCAGTCTTTGGGGACAGTCGGCAGGTGAACTCAAGAGGGCTGGTTAGAATCCTAGAGGGGCCAGGAGGCAGTAACTTGTTCACTTACTCTGTGTCACAGCCTACTTGGAGACTCTGACTACGTACAAGAACACATTGGGTGCTCGGCACACAGGACTGCACTGGAGAGACTCAGTCCCTGCCCTTGGGGCCCTTTCCTTCTAACAGGGAGACAGATATTAAGCAGTGGTTACACAAGTCATCAATTCATTCTGGTTCACAGCCACAAGTGTGTCCTTCTTGGTGTCTAGAAATGCACTTGTGCTGTCAGTCCATGGGGGCCTGGCCAGATGCCAGGGTGTGTGTGTCAGCACCACCTGCCCCCATCCTGCTGCCCATCCCACAGAGAGGAGTTGAAGAGCATTAATTGTTGCATAAATATGGTACCATTAGGACTTAAATAACCTCTTGTCACTGTCACCTGGACTTCAAACGGCCTTTGGTCCACAAGAATTGGGCCTATCCACTCTAGAGTTACCTGTCCATGCCAACACATATGCTCTGGCTTTCCCAATTAATGGAAGGTGGAGTAGTGGCCCTTCTAACCCAGCACCGGCAGACACAGAGCACTTTACCTTGAGGTCATACTTGCGATGTACGTTGAGCCGATGGCTGAACACATTCCTGGTAACTACCATGTAGGTTTCCACACCGTCCACAGTCAGGCGGTACATGCCCAGGAACTGTGGCAAAAGGGTGTTGCCATGACACTCCACTATAAACTAGAACAGAAAGGAGGAGAAGAAGGAAGGATAAGCAGCACGAAGGTGCCCTGGATGGATGGGGCTGTCCCCAGGCTAATATGCTCCCTGGGTTCTAACTTCTAGACTAGTGGTTTTCCAATTGGGTTCTGTGAGCAATAGGGGTTTCTCACATTTACGACAAGCAGCAGCCACCCCCGCGCCCTGTTCACACGGCAGAGTGAGCAGTGAGCTGAGCAGGCAGTGCAGAGTCCCTCTGGGTTCATATTATTGGAATCCCTTCGACCGAAGATTTTGCGCAAAATAGGATTCTACTGCAGGAAAATCACTGACCCATGCCTTGCACCCCCGCTGCCGGCCTGATATGGGAAAGCCAAGGGCAGGGGTGCAGAGGCGGGGCTGGATCCAGCTGTCTGGGAGAACAGAAAGGCTCCACACCCACAGCCCTCACCCATGACACGCCCCAGGGTTTCTCCTCTCACTCTCAAAAGACCAGAAGTTCCCTTCACCACTTCTTAGGTGCCCCAGAAATGAAGACTCAAGCAGGCTGAGAATAAGCACTCAGACAGTGCCACGGCACGCCCTACTTTCCTCGTGGACAGGGTCCAGATGAGTGGAGAGATGGAACGGGAAAGGAAACAACCCCACCAAGCTGACAGGACCTCTTTCAGAAGCAATGCAGCAGATGCCAGAGTGGGAAAACTTTCCAAGTGGGACTGAGTCAGCAATGTGCCTTCGTGTCTCCTTTTTTCTTTTTTAAAGGAGGCATTTCACCACATAGAAACACCGTCGCAGGAGAGGGCCCACTGCTTGGTTACTGGGAAGCATCTGCCATTACCAGAAAGGACCAACCCCTCCCGGAGAAGCTCCACTGGCCACCGGGGCTCTCTGCTCCCTCTTCCCACCCATCCTCCACAGCCCAGGCTTGGGACTCACCATACCTGGTGGTATTTCTTTAAGATGTTGTGCATCTCAGCCACATCCTCACTGGACACCGTCTTGATGACAAAGCGCCGGTCGTAGGTGGTGAGGAAACGTGTGCCACACCGGCCCTGGCTGTCACTGTTGATGGGGGCGCTGCGCGTCACTGAATTCTGATGGACCGAGACAAAAGCAGGCTGGGCTTGGCAGGGGAACCAGGATTCTGACTTTCACTCTGAGTCTTCTCTTATGGGCTGGATTGCTCAAAAGCCAACATCACTGAGACTGAGGGACTCCCAGATGGGACCTTACCCACCCCTTTCTCACAGGGTGTTCACATCCCCCTCTAAAATCTTCCTCTGGAGTGACCAGAGTCCTTCTCTTGCCACCTGCTCTTAATCCCAGAGTTTCCTTTCATTCTAATCCCAGAGAGCTATCCTACACACTAAAACTCTGCCTCAGATAGTAGGCGGTTTGGTTCTAATCCTGACCCTCAGATGCAATGACCTTGGGTGAGCCATTTAAATTCTCTACCCTGAGTCTCCTTATCTGGAAAACGAGGAGGCAGATCAGGCTGATTTTCATTCGGTCTCTTGGTGTGACAAAGACGAAGCTTAGGAAATACTGTATTTAAGAGGTCTAGCATAAAGAAGCAATGGAACAGTCGTCTCTTTTCCCTGTATTTACCCTGATGCTGGAAAACCCTTCCCAAGGCCAGGCACAGTGGCTCACACCTGTAATCCTAGCACCCTGGGAGGCCGAGGCGGGTGGATCGTTTGAGCTCAGGAGTTCGAGACCAGCCTGAGCAAGAGCGAGACCCCGTCTCTACTAAAACAATAGAAAGAAATTAGCTGGGCAAATAAAAATATATAGAAAAAATAAGCCGGGCATGGTGGCGCATGACTGTAGTCTCAGCTACTCTGGAGGCTGAGACAGGAGGATCGCTTGAGCCCAGGAGTTTGAGGTTGCTGTGAGCTAGGCTGATGCCACAGCACTCTAGCCCAGGCAACAGAGTGAGACTTTGTCTCAAAAAAAAAAAAAAAACCAACAACCCTTCCCAAAGCAGGAAGTTGGTCCTCATCTCTCTGCCTGACCCCTGTCCCCTCACCACAGCCTCCTGCATGGCTGTGTAGGGCTGGGAGGCGGTTCTGGGGAGCTTTCCTGGCTCTATCCCTGTGTCTCTTCAAGGCCCCACTTCCAACAGGATCAGAGAGCAGGAGAAACCTCAAGAGGTAGGGTGGGGGAAGGTGTGAGTCAACCAAAGGGATGTGTTCACCAAGCAGACCCCAGAAGACCTTTGGGAGGCAAGGCTGAGGGGAGATCCCATATGTCCCTGTTCCCAAGAAAACACACATGGGGATCTGTTTGCAGAAAAGCCTCCTCTCCCAGCCCTTTCCTCATCTCCTAATGAGGATCCTGTTCTTACCCCTCACCTAATGCCTCCTCATGAAACCCAGGCAGAGGAGGGAGCACCACCTTCATGGCAGAAACTGAAGTCTGAAGCAGTGAGGAGCTCTGGGAGTTCCTTGGGAAAGGTTCTAACTTTAAGTAGCACCCCCCAAAAGAGGGTGTCCCTCAATCCAGAAATATTGAATAGGCTACGTGACAGAGAGCCTGGCCCTTCTACCAGTTAAGACTCACGGGCTCCAAGCCCAGTTGGGAGGTCTAGCTCTGTCCCTGTCTCATGTCCAGGCAGCGTCCTCTGACTCTCTAGGTCACTGGTTGTCTAAAAGCACAGAGCCCCTCCTTGAACCCCATCCTCCCTGCCCTCATTTCAGTCTTGAGCACAGGCGTGTGCCGGCAAGGCTATCAGGGCAAAATGCAGACACTAAGAAGATGTGGTCAGACAGCCGAGGGGAGGGGAAGGAACCACAGTAAAGGGAAAACGAGCAACTTGGGGGTGCAACAGTGGTAAGAAGTTTTCAGGAAACTTCAAGCTCCAATCAGGTCATGAATTGGTTCAGGGTTCAGTCCTCACAGAGGGGGCTGGAGGAACCTCCCAGTACCTCTTAGACGTGGACACTCCTAGGCGTTCAAGCCCCTGGCATCTCCCCTCTTCCTCTCACATCCCCTTGCCCTCGGGACACTTGTCTGCGCATGCAGGCCTTCCAGTGCAGGAGAGAGGGGAGGGAGACTCTTACCCGAGGCCCGTTCTGCTTCTGTGAAGTACTCTGTGAAGGACTTACTGGGGTGGGGTGGAGGGACTATAGTGTTTGAAAAGATTTGGGCACCATTTTAGATGTCACTGTGCTATCTATCTACTCCTTTTTTCCCCACAGACAACTGAAAGCTACATTTCTTACTGCTATAAAATTCTCCCTTCTTTACTACCAGGCTGTCTGCCAGGGGAAGAAGGCCCCAGGAGAGGTGCAAGGTGGTGAAGCGACAGAAACCACGGACTATAGTCAGATAAAATGTCTCTGATATTGGGATTGAATCCTCCTAACAGGCCTGTGGCCTCTGTGACATTATCAACCCCTGAAGGGGGCAGCTGCCCTGACATGCCTACCCTCCCTCCCACCACCAGGAGAGGGGACAAGTTTAGGAGGTGACACTCATACCTGGCAAGAGGTTACACTACCCTTGAAGTCTTCCTTTTCTAATCTGTCTTATCTGCTTTAAGAGGCCTCATCTCTCGCTGGCAACAACTCTCTTTTAATTCAAACTATGAAGGAGAAGGGTTCTTCTGCCTAGACTGGGAATGCCAAACTAAAGTGAAGCAGCTTCCTCAGAGCCCTCTCCCTCCCGCAGCGCTCCCTCCCAGCGCGAGGGCCCGAGCCGAGAGGCATCCTCAGAAGCGCTTCCAAAGCACTCGCCCTCCACGGGCCTGTGCCAGGCCGAGACTGCCTGGGCTGGGGCATGACAGGGAGACATAGCACGAGAACTGCAGACACTTTTTGTCCTCTGCTTGTCCTGTGGCTTCCTGACCCCACTCCACTCCCTAACCCTCTGATTTTGCCATGACACCCCGTACCTGGTAATCCTGATCATCAATCCCAAACCTCTCCCGAAGATTTCGGAACACCATGGGGCAGTACTCCTTAAACTTAAAGCGGCTGGGGAGGTTCTCCCTAGGGAAAAGCAGAGACATGTCTTCGTGAACTGCCCCTTGCTCACCTCAATTCTGACTTCGCAACACCTCAGAGTGTGGTCCGCAGATCACCTGGATCTGACAGTCTGCCAGGCTTAAAATGTAGGTCTGTGGGCTCCAGGAATTCTGGAAGTGAGTTTGGAAATCTGCATTTTTAACAAACATTCCAGGTGATTCTGAGCATGTAAAAGTTTAGAAACTTTGTGTTCACTTTGTAAACATCAGTGCAGCTGTATACTTATGATTTGTGGTTTTTGTTTGTGCGTTTTCCTTCAATAAAACTTAATGGAGAAAACTCTCACCCACTGGGCAGTGAGAATGAGTGTCGGCGCCACCTCGCAAGCACTGTACTTGCTATGGGTGGGCGGCTGCATGTGAACGTCTGCTGTGAGGTCAATATCAGTCTGATTGCTATAGGGAAAGACCTGTCTCATCGAATGGCTCCTTTCCTCTGGGGACCTTCCTATCGAAACATCATGAAGATGGTTACATACAGGAAGTCCTGCTCTGGGCTTCCACTGGGATGTAGCAAGAAGGTGCCTTAGATTGAAGAGGCCCTCAGTCAATTGACTGGGATCCCAGAGCCTTGTTTGCTGGCTGCTGGCAGCAATTTCCACTGTCCCCACTCCTTAGCCAATCGACAGACTCCCAGAAAGAGAGAGAATCACCTGGAAATGATGGCTCCTACCAGTCCCCCATCTCTACAATGGCCACCCTGCTTAGGGACTCCCTTTCGGAAATACATCCCTCTGACTACTCCGGGACGACAGACTTCAAGGAAGTAAAAAGAAATGGCTTCTCATGAAGGAAGGAGCCTAGTCTACCTCATTTACCCCATCTGCTAGTAAATAGCACTATAGTCTAATGAACAGCACACAAACAGTTGCTGAAAGGACAAAAGGAATAAAGACAAAAGGAAATGAGACACTGGGTGTGCTCCGCTTTGCCAAGATGTCAAGGTGGTAGAACTTCACCAGCGGCCACAGACCCTGAACTGGGTAATGGTGTAATGCCCACTGCGGGAGCCCTGACCCCTGGGACAGAACAACCTCCTTTCCCACCTCTGAGTTGAGGGCTGCCTCTCCTTCCTTACGTGGCCACTTAGCAGGTAGCAGTTATAGAGACAGACGGCTTCTAGAACAAGATCTTACTTACTACCGCAGAGGGAGGCCCCTAAAGAACATTCTCCAATCAATCTTCTCCTCTGGGCTAACAGTCTGGGAATGGGGGGGTGACAGAAACCAGCTGCAGAGGTGGTGGGGACAGTGGGACAGTGGAGGATGGAACCAGGATTCACATGCAGAAAAGAGGAGAGTGTGAGCAGCAAATTGTTCCTGGGGTGACCTGCAGTGGGATGAACAAACAAGGCCTCCAAAGGGCTTAGAGCAGGCCCCACGCTGTGCCAGGTGAGATGGCTGCTGGCATGTCTCCAACAACGTCTGAGGCGACCTTCTGACATTGGTGCTAATCCAAGAAGCCACAACAAACAAAAATGGGAAGAGTTATTTGGGTAGTGCCCTCGAGCACCATGCTCAGCCACTTGTTTATAGACCAGAATTAGAGAAATGAGCTTGGCTGCATCCCAGGCCAGAAACACGCCCAGCAGCTTCCCACCTCAGACTAAGATCAAGATAGGGCCGCTGCTGCAGCCTCACGCTAGACAGCTCAGCTCCTGAGCAGCTCACTTCTACCTGAGCTGGCCCTAGGTGCATCACCCTGGGCCCAGCCACACGCCCCAGGGGACACTGGAGGTAGGCTGATAAAGGGGTGAGGTGACAAGACAATGTGAGGGGAGAGGCACATAATGAATGCATTTTTTCAGCCAGTTTGTCAGCTGTGTGATCCAAATGTTGCTGTCACACCCTACCAGGTGCTGGCTTGGCCCCTGCTTCCCGCCATCGCCATTGTAGACAACTTACTTATTAAAGAGATGATTGTCCACCTTGATCTTGCTGTAGGCTTTGAAGTCATCTGGCATTAGCATGACAGGGACTGGGACATTGCTCAGCTCATTGATCTGCAAAGCAAGGAGAAAGTGAGGTTCTCAGCCAGGAGGCCACGTGCCTCAGAGAGACAATATGCTACAATGCGGATGTCACCATCTTTCTAAAAACATGTCCATAGATTCCCTCTTTATCTCTGCTCTTCTCTCCAAATAAGTTCCCAGCTTCATCTCTACCCACTTAAATTCTCCCCATCCAATAAGGTCCAGCTCAAAAGGCACCTTGAGCTTTCCAAAATTCTCTAGACCATAAATACGCTTTCCCGTCTTGGGATTCCTGAAGCATCGTCTGTGTCTATCTTCTGCCCATCTCACAGCCTCGTTCATATTGGAGTTAATGCTTATAAACTTCATGCTCCTGCTGGACTTAAACTAGGTAATACCATACTACTTATCTTTCTAAACAAAGATCATCTAACTAATCTTTGAGGGTTCCATCGTTCTTGGAACCCTTGGAACAGTTTAAATGGTTTAAACTATGACTTGCGCATGGCAGGTATTCAATATATATTCGTCAAATGCAATAATAAATGTCCCCCAACCTAAGTGGGTATTATTAATAATTAAAAGTAAAACAAAACAAAGCAATAATTAAGGCTTTTGAACCTCTTCATACGTATTGTGGATCACTCAAGAAATTAGCTCAAGGCAGAAAAAAAGCTGGATGGGTTTGTGTGGGTGTGTAACTCATATCCCTAAAGGATTAAATTTAAAGTAAGCCAAAAGAGGTAGAAATCTGGCCATTGGTCCACTCTGACCTTCCTGATGAAAGCTGGGCCAGTTCCCGATGCCATGGCCTGCCTTATGCTGAGCTGGGGGAGATGTGGCAGGGGGCTCTGTCCCTGCTACAAACAAACCTTCTCATTGTCTTTCGCCCCCTTCAGGGAGCTGGATCCTGGACAGGGAGCTGGTTTCCCACTGGCACAGGGCTGAGAGGGCAGATTCTGCCCTTCCCCACCCTCAGTTTAGCCAATTAGTGGTCTAATTAGCCACAGATGTCCTCTCCTAGCATAGCAGAGTATTTGACATTTGACCCTCAACCCAGTTGCCACTAATGCATTCAGGATTTACAGAAGAAACCCTAGTCCTGACTTAATGGATTGGGGGGGAGGGTGCATGGCCTTGTGTCTCCCAGACACTTTCCTTGCAAATCCTATTATCTCAATGAGGCCCCAGGTGGCAGTGAGGGAATAACCCAGAGTCATTAAGACTCGACCGGGAGCATAAATAGGGGAAATGGCATTTAATTTGCTGCCCCTTTTATGCTCCAAACCTTTTTTATTTAGAAATGTCAGAGGATGGAAGTTCAAATTAGTGCAATAAATGGACTGGGGAACCATACCTTCCCACTGTTGGTAAAAAATCTAATTTACTCATGGGGAAATTAAGGAAAGTGTAGGAGTGCATGTACGTGAAGAGGGGAGGGGGGTAGTATTATAAGTTGGCAGAGGAGAAGATAATAAACTGCTGGCAAAAACCAACTGGCTGAGACATAAGAGTATATCCTGTGTAATTCCACAGTGTATCCTGTGAAATTCTAGAACAGGAATCTATAGTGAGAGAAATCAGACAAGTTGCATGGGTAGGTTGGCGGGGGGCGGGGGGACTGAGTGTGAAGGAATATGGGAAGTATGATTCTAGGGCGATAGAAATGTTCTATATTTTGTTTGCAGTGATGGTTACATGGGTATACACATTTGTTGAAACTCATCAAACTGTACACTTAAAATGTGTGCATTTTATTGTTATGTAAATTATTCCTCAATAGAGTTGATTTTTAAATTCCCAGCATCCAAGTCTGTGATGCCCTTCATAGGCCAAAACCCTCCCAAAAGCCCAAACAACAACAAAAAAAAAACACCAAAAAAGAGCCATGTCGGTTCCCATTCCAGGGGGTTGCTCACAAGAGAACTTGATTTTCAAATCTGTGCCTACAGAGGAAACCATTCCACTTCCTTGTTTTTCTGCCAACAGAAACAATTCATGGTGGCTGTCCCATTTCCTTTTTCCTGGCATATCAAGCCTGGCTCGGACAGTTAAAGCAGAAATAGAGACAAAGAGTCCAGGGCTCTTATGCAATTCTGCCTTTTCTAGCTCCTACCTCCATGCTAGAAAGAACATACCACTGGCTCAAATCGGATGGTTTTATACCAAGACTTTATAGTATTGCTACAAATCAATTCTGAGTTAGTCCAAGATCCAAATTCTCTGCCAAAGCTGGCTTGATATTAGAAGAACTAGAAAAGACTAAAACACTTGCTTGAGAGGGATCAGTTGCCCCTTAGCCAGGATGAATTATTCTAACAAGAACTATTTGGGAATGTTCTATTCACTAATTCTTTGTGTAACTCTTAGTGCAGCACAGTTTAAATGGTTTAAACTAGTAAATTTTTAGTTCTCACTTCATCCGTATTCTTTTTTTTTTTGGAGACAGAGTCTTGCTCTGTCACCTAGGCTAGAGTGCAGTGGCATCATCATAGCTCACTGCAAACTCAAACTCCTGGGCTCAAGCGATCCTCCTGCCTCAGCCTCCTGAGTAGCTGGGACTATAGGTGCACACTACCACACCGGTTAATTTTTTTATCTTTAGTAGAGACGGGTCTCGCACTTGTTCAGGCTGGTCTCAAACTTCTGAGCTCAAGTGATCCTCCCACCTCAGCCTCCCAGAGTGCTAGGATTACAGGCCACCACGCCTGGCCTCACCTCTATTCTTGATTATACAACCCAACAGCAGGACATTTTTAACTCAGATAATATATTGGTGAACAATTCATATATCTTAACTAGATAGACTCACCCCTCACTTCCACTAGACCATATGTAGATGATTCACTCTAGGGATTAGCTATACTATTTTTTTTAATTGTGCTAAATTTTATATCCCAGAGAGTTCTATTCCATTTCAATTGAACAGTACTGCCTGAAATATCTGCTTCATTCTGTGTGAGGGGTGTGTGTGGGACGAGAGGGATGCAAGGGGGGAAAGTGTTGTACACAAGAAAGAAATAGGAGGCTTATAATCTTTTCATGGAGCTGAGACAACCCATGACACAGTGAAACCTGAAGTCAAAGCAGTACACAATGAAGGGAGAATCCAGGGATAGAGACATCAAGAATGGCAGAGGTTCAGAAGAGGATGAGACTGGTATGGTCAGAGGGGCAGACTCCCAGTCCTCACACAGACTAGAAACAGGCACCTAATATCGTTCCTGGTATTGCCAAGAGCACTTGACACTAGAAGAACCTAAAATAAGATCATGTTACACTCCTGCTTACGAATCTTCCATGGTTCCTCATCAACCTCAGGGTAAAGTTTTAGCTGCTTAGCCTGACGTTCAAGGCCTTTCCTGGCCAGGTGCGGTGGCTCATGCCTGTAATCCTAGCACTCTGGGAGGCCGAGGCAGGAGGATCGCTCGAGGTCAGGAGTTTGAGACCAGCCTGAGCAAGAGCAAGACCCCAGCTCTACTAAAAATAGAAAGAAATTATTTGGACAACTAAAAATATAGAAAAAATTAGCCGGGCATGGTGGCGCATGCCTGTAGTCCCAGCTACTCGGGAGGCTGAGGCAGGAGGATTGCTTGAGCCGAGGAGTTTGAGGTTGATGTGAGCTAGGATGACGCCACGGCACTCTAGCCCGGGCAACAGAGCGAGATTCTGTCTCAAAAAAAAAAAAAAAAAAGTGTTTTTAAAAAAAAAAAAGGCCTTTCCTGCTCTGGTTCAGACTCTGCCAAACTTCTATTCAATTTACTTCTACTCAATACATGAAGGGCCTTACTATATGCTAATACTGTGCCAAAAGCTGGGGATAAAAAAAAAAAAAAGACGTCTTTGTACAGCTAGGAAGACAGACAATGAATAACGAACATAATGTGATGAGTGCTGTAACTAAGTTATGTATAAAGGGAGATGGAAAAACGGATTAAGAGATGATTGATTCTGCCTGGGAATAGGGTTGGTTGCTAGAGGAAGCTACAGAGAAATACAGGCCTAGGACAGTAGTTCTCCAAAACATGAGAGGAAAGGAATCCCAGTCCATGCGAACAGTCGGAACTAAGCCTCAGAGCTGTGAAAGTATACTGCCCACTGCAGGAATGGTGAGTGTGTGTGCAGGGGTGGGGGTGGGATAGAGGGCAGCAGCGCAGGACAAAGATAATGAGTGGGGAGAGAGAATTCAGGAAAGATAGGTGAACAGTCTAGTACAATATCAATAAATAACGGCTGCTTCCATTTAGTGAATACCTACAAGTGGTCGGTGCTTTATATCATTACATATTATACTATACATCACACGTATACAACATATATTCTCAATATTTTTTTTTTTGAGACAGAGTCTTGCTCAGTTGCCCTGGGTAGAGCACAGTGGCGTGATCATAGCTCACTGCAATCTCAAACTCCTGGGCTCAAGTGATCCTCCTGCCTCAGCCTCCCGAGTAGCTGGGACTATAGGTGCATGCCATGACACCTGGCTAATTTTTCTATTTTTAGTAGAAATGGGGTCTTGCTCTTGCTCAGGCTGGTCTTCAACTCCTGTGCTCAAGCGATCCTCCTGCCTCGGCCTCCAAGAGTGCTAGGATTACAGGCGTGAGCCACCACGCCTGGCCATAACATATATTCTGTTCTCTACTATTATTTCTAATAGTTAATAGTCGCTTAAGGCCAGGTGCAGTGGCTCACGCCTGTAATCCTAGGACTCTGGGAGGCCGAGGCAAGAGGATCACTTGAGCTCAGGAGTTCGAGACCAGCCTGAGCAAGAGCGAGACCCCATCTCTACTATAAATAGAAAGAAATTAGCCAAACAACTAAAAATAGAAAAAAAAAATAGTCGCTTAAAGTATTACTAATCTGACTTTGTAAAAGAGGTTCAGAGAAGCTGAAACCTTACTGAAAATCACTGAGACAGTACACGCAGAGATAGCATTTGATCCCAGGTCTGTCTGATGCCAAAACTTGGGCTGTGCAGTCCTTCCTACGCATACCTATCTTGCCTAAGGTAGTGTTTTCCATTCCTTGCT